GATACACAGGTGTGCTACCATTTCAATTTAATGTTTTTTTTATTAGAATTTGTGACATGAAGAATATTTTGAACATGAATTTAGTATTTCCTTGTTGAGTTTCATATGGATAAATAGATTCAGCTTAGGAAGAAAGGCAACGAGGTATAACAATGGATATTGCACGGACAACGTTCGAAACTGAGCATCGGAAAATTTTCGTTCTAGATGCACCAGGTCATAAGGATTTCATTCCCAACATGATTATGGGTATTCGTACTTTATTTACCTTACAATTGTTCTTTTTTAAAGCTTTTTAATTTTTCAATATTGTCGAGGCTAAAAGGTATTCTAAACACCACACAGAAATTGCAATGCTTAATATAACAGTAATTCCGTATTAAGTAGATTTCTGTATGGTGTTTTCAATATGAAGTTTACATTTTTAGAGTGATTATTTGTTCATAGAATGTTATATCTTATGGCTTTAGGTGCCGCTGAAGCAGATGCTGGTATATTAGTTATCAATGCAACTCGTGGAGAATTTGAAACTGGGTTTGATCAGGGAGGTCAGACGAGGGAACATGCTGTCTTACTCAGATCTCTGGGTAAACCTTGTTGTTTAGTTAACTTGTATAACGGCTACCCTTTCAAGAGATACGATGTATGCAGATTTGATTACTTTCCGTATAGCTTCAAAACTTTCAACTATTTGTTCATTTGATACTGGAGAGGAGATAGTACTTATTATTTTGCAGGAGTAGGTGAACTAATAGTTGCCATAAATAAGATGGATACGGTGAACTGGTGTCAACAACGTTACGATGAACTTTGTGCCACTTTAAAGGTTTTCCTTAGAAAGCAGGCTTCCTATTCAGCAGTTAAATTTGTTCCGCTTTCTGGATTGGATGGAACAAATTTGACAAAAGCTCCACCTGATGGTCACTCTTTGTGCACATGGTATCAAGGACCAACACTTTTGCAAGTAATGGGTGAGAATAATATTGTGTTTCCTAGGAATATATAATTTTAGATTTGCTTGAGAGGAGAAAGGCATTATTCTAGTTTGGAGAGTTTGTATCAACACTACTAGTAAAAGAGCTGAAATATGAAGGAATGTAAAACAGATTAACTGTATTATCTTTTTAGATGAAATGCAAGTTCCAGTACGGTCACAGGATCGCCATTTCCGAGCTGTTATTAATGATATATACAAAGCCTCAACGTCAGCGCTTTCAGTAGGCATCAAAATTGAGGCTGGTTTTATAGAAAATGACGAGAAAGTGTACATAATGCCAAATGCTGATCCTGTAATTGTTAAAGGTATCTTAATCGTCTATTTCATTCTTGTGCTTATCACTGAAAAACATATAACTTGAGGACTAGTTCCACCATTTGACTTTTTGAAAAAATAAAGAATAATGATTTTTATTTACTTTACACATGAAATCTGCATGCAGGGATAGTTGTGGAGGCCAATTCGAGGAAAGACATTGGCTTTGCTGGCGATCAAGCTACGGTGACTCTAACACCTGTTTTAAATATCGAACCCAATTCCATGAGCATTGGATACGTTCTTTGTCGTGGTGGACAAGTTATTTTCCTATATTTTTATTTTTCGTTCAATTTTTATTTCTTAATTACTCCAAATTAGAAAAGCAGGAGTGAAATTTTTTTACTTCCATCGGATAATAAAGAACCAAGAATCTTACATTAAATTCAGCCATAGGTTTGACGTATTGCATAGTATGGAACCGCATGAATGCTTGAAGTGTTTTTATCTTTTTAAATCGATGTGTTGTAGGAATGTCTCATCCCTGGAAAGAAATATCTGGTGCGTATTGTTGTTTTCGATATTGTTATTCCGATCATAAAAGGCACTAAAGCTGAACTTTTCGCACATTCGTTGTGCGAACCTTGCACCATCACATTGTTGAAGGCAGAACTAAATAAATCTACAGGCGAAGTGATAAGGCAAAAACCTAGGTTTTTCTTTGACTTGTTTTATTTTCTCATTTATGATATCGTTATTTCTGGATGTGAAGCAGACTCGCTGGCATTTTATTATTTATCAACATTAACCTTCTTTCCGTTTTCTAATATTTTGAATTTCTTAGTGTCAACATTCTTTATGTTGATGTTCACAGGTTAAACTGGAAAAAAAAGAGGGTCAAAAAAGATCGCGTTGTATGTGGTCGTATGTATTAAGTTGATAAAGATGACACATTATAGCTCTCCGGTCAATTGATAACAATTGTAAATTTTAGAGCACTAACAAAACATATGAGTGGAACGATTGAAATTCAAACTGAACGAGCTGTGAGCTTAGAACGGTATTCGGAATGTAAAGCACTTGGTCGTGTGACACTTCGCTGTGTGGGACGAACTGTTGCAGCAGGCATCATTGAACAGAGATTGGATTAATTGAATGCTTTTTTTATATGCTTTTCATAATAAATGATTCCATTTTCAATGGCACCATCACTATGTAAATAATGTTAACTACCTTCAAATATTCTTTATATTAAAGTTCACAGATTAAACTGGAATGACTATCCCGAAGCTATAGGTTAGCCTGTCTTTCCTTCCAAATCGTGCTCATGTTTTAATTTAAAAGACCAGTCTCTTCTTTTTCTTGAATTTTTCTTTTTTATATTTATTTATATTGCTCAATAGTCTATTGTCAACAGTCAATATCATTTTTATTAAGCAATTATCTGAATAAAATTCGTGAACAATAAATTGTATACAATATTTCATATGAGAGATGACGTATCCGAATCACAGACTTTATCGCCACAATCTGATTTTCATGTTAGTAGACGCCAACATCACGTTGGATGTTGATTTTTATGTATCTCACTTAAGCCACACTCCTCCCAGTGAGTCCTCAATAGCTGGCCACACTTAACAAAACCACCTCTACAAGATTTTTGTAAAATATTTGCTGGGATATTTCAGGCTTTGGATCGTGGGAAGAAGATCGTCATCTCAATACTCATCTGTTTTCATTGGTAGTATACATTGTCTGTGTGTGCATTAAAAACGATTATGTATGGTGCAATGAGTTAGTATTGCCTTCAACTAAAGTTGATTTTGTAATGTTGAAAGTCTTGATATGAGGAGTTGGTTGATCACAAAACTTATTTTAGGTTGTTTGAAGTTTCCGCTGTTTTTTGTTTGAACTTATCTGCTCTAATCCCGTTTCTAAGGTATGATACTGAATTCAGGAATTGGCGGTCGATCCATTTTTAAGTCTGGTTGGTGTCCATTGATTCCTTGCATTTCTGCTGTCTTAGCCATTCGCTTCCTGATTTGTTTCAATCGCTTATTCACAGCACGCTCAGCTGGCGTACTATAGGTTTTATTCTGGTCAAATCGACCTCTAACCCGATGAACTATTGACAATATAGCTGGCAGAACCACAAGACCGTGCAAATTGCATAATATAACAGAAGTAACCATTGTTTTCACAAAGACCTAAATGTAGTGATTAGTGTATCTCATAAAGAATTATTCTAAAAGACATAGTATTAGGTTTTAAATATTTTAGATTCATATAAAAAAGAAGATGGAGTAGTTTTTGATAGAGATACCTGCGACATATAAATTCCAGCAAACCATAAGCTGTAAACACACAGTATAGTAGATAATGCTGCCTGCACAGCTGGAAATCCTACCGAGGTAAGACAGTTGCCAAGTTTAGCTTGGGGTGTCGATTGCTCGTCTAAATGAAGGAAAATTTTAAAAAATATAGGAAATATAAGTATGAAATTTAGTTTATAGTGGCCAAAAATACAATCCTCTCTTAAGACACTGATGACAAAACAGCAAAAAGTAATAGAGTGTGGAGTATTAGGCTTGTTTGGCAGACAAATGCTTACTGGCTTTGCAGTAATGATAAGCAACATGTGCTGGAATATCAACACTAAAGCCAGTGGATATTATCATCGCAGCCATTGAAATTGGATCTAATTCAACATTCCACCAAGACAGTATGCCTAAGATACCTAAAAAGTAAACCTTTATAGAAATCATTCATAATTAATGTTCAAGTCAATCAACCTAAGTTCTTTTCAAATAGAGTCATTTATTAAAGATATCTCATTCTGATCGAATAAGCATTAAAAATCTTCGTAAATTTCATGTTTAATTTAATGATGAGTTTAGGCTATAGTTCTGAACTATTTAATCTTTTCATTGCTGTTTGCTTTGTTTGATATGGTTAATAAATCAAGCTTACCAATAGACACAGAGAGGACAGAGGCAGTTGCAATAATCACCGTAAGCATATTCCGAAGAAACAAAAAGCATACCGCAGCCATACAAATCAGTGTACCAGCTATCGATTGCCACGTATCCGTCGGCATATTATCGATCAGATCCAGAAAGATGGCGTCTTCATGGAATACGGAAGCATGGAATGATTCGCTTCAATAATGAAAGCTGATTAGGAAGAAATCATCATATTATCATTCAAGAAAATGAACAAAATTTGACAAAATTACAGCAACGATGGTCAGTTATTAGCTTATGTAATGATATTTTCTCCTTTTCTCGTCATCATTTCCTCTCGTCTGTCATTCTAAATCATTATTTTTTAAACTACAAAACTTACTACATAGCTTTGTCTACGATAGCACGCCATCGTTTAAGTAATTTCCCTCGTGTCGTCCATACTTTCAAATTTTCATCATGATAGGCTGTGGTGAAAAAGAATCTTTTCAATTTTTTTCCTGAAATAACTCGTCATGTCTTATTAAAGTCAAATACTCCTGATATATCTGAGCTAATCTATAAATGCATTTATGAATGCGCATAAAACATAATTTTACCGCATTCTACTGACGTATCTCTCTAATGGTTGTTAGGTATGGAATTTGAATGAAAGTCAAATATTACAAACTTTCCATCGGTGCTTAAATTTTGCAACTGGACGAAGCCAGACCAAAAGTCATATTCTGGCCATGTCAAAAAATTTGCTAAATCATCATTATTGAACTTGAGAGCATCTTCCGGATTTATTGTTGTGGTGCTAACATCATCCAAAGAGTCAAAATCATAATCATGTTCTGCTGAAATGAATAAATACAGAAATAGAATTGTGTTTAAAGTCTTTTTGCTAGTTAGTTATACTCCCTATGAGAATAATGTTCCCGTAAATCAGGATACAGTCAATAATAATAAATAAAAATAAAAACAAACATTGCAAAAACTCTGGAATAAAGCAAAATCGCGCACGAAATACATGGTACCAGTAGGTCCCCAGCTACCGTCAAGGTTCTCAAAATCCTGAACCATATTATTCATCAGAAGAAGGGGCAGTTTCTGAGACAAATCTCCTGGTGTCTCCACAAATACCGATGCCATCGTAAAGAACGGTATCTGATATTTTACGCGTAACTTATCGAGCTATAAAGGACATAAAGTTAGATTTGTAATAGACATCTAATAATAACTACAATCTGTCAAAATGTTTGAAAACAGTCTGTGGCAAAAACCTTTATCAGTGGTGAATCTGCTGCAAATAGTTTCTGAGGCGTTAAACTGATATTCATCCGTGTTATCCCCTCAAATGATAATTTATATTGGTGTATCTAATTACATCTATGAGAGCATAAATATAGAATTAGATGAAAAGATAAAAATGTTGCTAGAAATCAAAAATTGTTGATAAATGACAAATTTCTAAGTTATTGAGATTAAGATGAACTATTGATCATCTAAATGAATATCTTCTGAGGAGCAATGCATAAATGAGAAAGATAAACAACAAGAAAACATACCCATACTGATATGATAATGTAAGTAATATATAGAATAATGATTAGAGTAGCTATCGAAGCATGAGCAATGATATTCACATATACTCGCATGTATTTACTGATGTACAGCTTTGATTTATCATGAAATCTCGAATTTTTACGCTGAAAGATATGAAATCATTAAGGATAGAATCAGAAGAATGGCCCAATCAATCAATGACATAACAAGTGGATCGGTTAGCGGATATCCAGTTGATATCAGTGAAATATAATCATATTCCAATAACAGAATGAAGCGATATTAGTTTGTAATGATTAAGAAATAAATTTTTCCTGATATGATAATATAAGGATAATGACAAGCGTTACTATTGCAAAATGGGAGATAATATTATTTGGAAAATTAATAGAGAAAACTTGCAGTAATCTCGCTATATTTTCTGATATTCACTTGAGTTTTCTGTATTGTAATATTTGTGATATTATCTTCATTTTTCTCTGCTGCAATCTCGAATTTTCCAACAACGGACATCAGACCGGAATAAAATAACATCTAAAAATGAAGTGAATAAAGTTATTGCAGAAAGAAAAAGGAATATTTTCAAGTGTATCACTTACCTGATACAAATACGCCATAAACATGGAGAATAAATTTCCAATGCATAGTAGACGAATTTCAGGAGAAGATGTAAAACAACCAACAGCATCAGCCAATATATTAGTTATTGCGGAGATTAATATAGCGGGGCCAACTTCACTGAGTACCTGAAATATCACATCAAACTACGTAAAATGTAATATGCTTAATTAATAATTAATAAAATTTGAAGAAAAATCAGACCTCAGACATTCGATGTCCAACAGTTCCACTCTTTTTCTCACCATCCCGTATCTCCTTTGTTACTCGCTGCCATTCATGGATCATTAAGTACGAACTATCAATACCTGAATTATTCTTAGTACTTAACACTTAGTACTATTAATTCTTAAATTGTACTTACTTGGTACTTGGCATTATCAATACCTGAATTGCTCTAACTCAATGCCTAGTACTACAAGTACTTAAACTATTGATACCCAATATAAATTAAAACTTTTTAATCAGGTACAGTCTTTTTCACTTCATATGATTTAAAAAGATTCATTTACTCTCTTACCAATAGATAGGACCAGAAAAGGTATGACGCAAAGTATTGAGGAGAATCTCATACCACACAAAAAGAGTATTGCTAACGCTGTAGAACATGCTAGTAATGGTGTGGCGCAAGCCATTACCGCCAGAAAAACCTGAAATCTATGAGTATGTCACACTGAAAGTATATCACAAGAAAACTAACGATGTTAGCATGAAAGATGAAGATGAAAGGGTAAATAAATAAGTCAGATAAGAAAGCAAAAAGTTAAACAAAAAATCAGCTAACCTTGAATACATTATTTTGATGCATATAAGCAGCTCGAACCATTACTGTAATTACAGAGCAGGTACACATGATAATAAAGCCTGCAGTTAGATACGGTAGTAGTGATATTCCGGCACGAACCATTTCTTCTTCAATATAAGTGGTGGAAGCGACATAAATTGTCAAATGTTCTGATTGATAATTCCTACAAGATTTAAAAAGTAGGTAGTACAAAAGACACTTTAGCACATATTTTAATTATCTGTCCTATTCTTCAAAACATTCCAAAACAAACTGATCACTTCTAGTAAATCAGGAAAAATCAGAAAATTTGAAATACTCGAAGAAATGGACGACATTCATTTCCCATTGTTTCATATCATCTTTACTCCATTGAGGATTCTGCAGGGCACGAAGTTGAAGTGAAATCATCTTAACTGATTTCATATTTGTTACTGCTGGATGTGTTTCATTCCAGGCTACTAATAGATCAATATTTGTATCATTTCCAAAAAGTTGATGCACTCCTTCCCTTTCTTCATCGATATCCTCTTTTGTTTCATTTCCGTTGTATAGTTCTACACCAAAAAAGTAGGGCTAAAATTAATATGTATCATATGATGCCACAATTTATTCCTCTTGGCGCTTTTGGATAAAATAAGGTGAGAATTTAAGTTTTGAATAATTAATTAGAGTTGTAATTTGCTCCAGGAGGTAGTAGTTAGCTGGTTTATAAAAATGATTTGAATTTTAAGCATAAAGATAGTGTAGAAGTACAGAATTTATTTATTATTATTATTAGCAAATGCTAGGGAAAATTCATATCTTCCTAATTCATAACCAGCAGTAGATATGAACTTTTATCATCTTGATAAGAGCAACTTACATAATTATTGCATTGCTCATCCTTAGTCATTCCATAAATTCAAACAATCGTATATATTGATTAAAATTAAAAGTAAACAATACCTGAATACTTATTTCACGGCCAAACAAGGTACTAATAGGATAACGAAGTCGTAGATATGGATTTGGACGATCACCGTTGTCAACATTCCATTTCTGTACCATATATGCATTCTGAAATTCTCCTCAATGATATTATCATTCAAATAATTGTAAACATCAATAAATTAAACTGTGAAAAAGGGAAAAAAACAATGAACGTATTTCATGATAATCGTCAAACAATCCAAGTACAAATAATCAACTGACAATCGATATAGCTCTGTGGATCATATCATTATCATCGAATTAGATATGTAATACTATTTATTCGTCAAACTCTTTAAATAAGATAGTATAGCTATTCTATTTTTATACTGTGTATTGTGCATCGCTATTTTCCAACAACACGAAAAAGTGCTTGAATCATCAAATTTTTGCAATTTATCAATTATCTTATCAGTTCAGATAACAGATTTGTTTATTTTCTTTTTCTCTCTCTTTTTTTTTTTTCAAAATGAAAAATGCTTTATACATAATTCAAACTGACAAAAACGCTTTTTATACCTATTTAATTATCAATAAGCAAACTAGATTGTCAACTATAAAGGTCAAATAAGTTACGACTGAGTTAAGGTGGATGAATGCATTAACTTACATAAAACTGTAATACGGGTTCGTTTATATTGCAAAACTCTCTGCAGAATTGATTGAAGGATTGATTGTTACGAGTAATTGGATCGTACAGTGTGATATTGTTAGCAGCTAAATGTAGCACCTAAAAATGCATTATATCTAAGGTTATCATTTGTTATATTACGTTTGTTCATATATTCATATCTGATGTCAGTTACGGTATTAATATAAAATGTTATCGACTAGAATGTTATCATAAAATGGGACACTGTAACGACATGGGGACACACCTTTATGGTATCGTTGAGATGACTTTGTCGAAGCATAGAATTACCGTCTTTGGCGGTGATATACAGATACGTGGATATTGCTAAGCCACGTCCCGAGAAGAAGTTTAAATACTTGTCGTATTCAATGCGTGAACGTGCTTCGAATGGTGAGTAACCTTCTAGATCATTACGTTGTCTATAATAATAGCATTATTGCTTGAAATTCATCAAAGCATCTCATATGACATTTTAACTTTCATATCATTTGCTTTTAATTAAATTTAATGAATTTTTCCGTTTAATAACAGCTTTTTCTCCGGTAGAGTATAAAATAAAGAAGAACAAACGGTGTATAAGATATCTTGATGAGTGCTAGTAGTGAAATCAGTATACAGGAGATCATAGCAGGCCAAGCAAAACGAGTAATCCAGAAACCCCACTTGTTGTATATCTTAATTATAAACTTAACAAATCTGAAATAAAAATCAATTATTTATACTTGATATTTACACTGATACTATAAATTAATATAACTTATCATTTTATTATCAATGCAATAATAAATTAGATGATAAAATGAAATGAAACAAACTTTGGCTCTTTCTCTCCGAATTCTTCAAGAAGTTGCATGGAACGCTTTCCTACTAGAATACTTGATCGTCGATGTCCATGAAGAGATTGTGATGACAAATCTTCATATGCTTGAGAATGCATCCATGAATTACCATAATCAATACCGGAATATTTTGGTACATTGTTACTTCTCTCCGTATTCCATGAAAAATCTACAAATAAATTAGATATAGCATAATTTTTCTTCTTTTTCTTATAAAGAATAATTTTAAAACAAAATTATATGCAAGAAATGTTCAAATATGAATTCTATGTAGTAATAAATGAAAAATTACCGTCTTTTGGATTTTTTTCCTCTCTTGATTCTTGGATTTTTCCCAGTGAACTGATGTAGCTGTTTCTTTAGGATGTTTCGTTTCCTGCGACATCGCAGGAATGATTGGAATGTAACTTTTCTTGTTTCTATTGGTGCAGAGATCCGTTTATGGATCTTTTCAATGATTTTGTTTTGATCAGCGTTTTTTTTTCGATATCTGAGGAATATATTTTTTCTTGTTGAGAGAAATCATAACAGATTGTAAGTTATATTAAGATTGGCAATATAATATAACTAAGAATAAGTAAAAGATATTTATCTGAAAGTGATTTGGAAATTGTAACAAATCAATAGCAAATTATTTAAGTGTTAGGAAAAAATTAGATTCAGAAGGATATATTAGTTAATCATTTTATAAGATAATATTCAAATAAAAATAAGGAAACGATTTTTCATTAGTTAATCTGAAATAAATTCTATAATTTATGTGTATATTTTAAAAAATATTGAAAATCTGAGGGGAATTATCAAACAGTCTTGAAATGCACTGCTTTCTGACGATGAAAATTATGGGAAATAAAACTAAGAAAGAAAAAGGAACAATAAAGAGATATGAGTTATGGGAACTTATCAAAGATTTTAATAAAAAAAAAAAGAATAATTCCATTAGGTTAGCTAAAATATTTTTGGAGAGTCGAATTATCGTGGAGAGTAATTATCGGTAAATACGAAAGCTGGTTAATAGCAACTGAAAGTGTTAAACAACAAAATAACATTTGTTGACTGATTTTAAATTCCAAAAAGAAAATTCTAATATTATTTTTAAGAGAGAGGAGGGAAAGGGTGAGAAAGAGAGGTATGGTTTAATGTCCTTAGAACTATCTGATTCGCGAATCGGTGCTACAATGCTTATAAAAAGCAGGTTCTTTTAATGAAAACCAAAAAATGAAATATTGGAATGGGCGGCGATGATGATGATGAGTAATTTTAGTATGATTGGAAGCATAGGTAAAGAGGTATGCATAGGTAAAGAACAGGTAAAGAAGTATTTATCATCACAAAATAAAATAGTGATTGACCTCTTGATAACCTATTCCTTTTAATATCAAATTAATAACTAATTAGATTAGATGACAGATTAAAAGAGTATTAATTATTCCAACTGAAGTAGACAATGATTGACAATAGCATACCTGACCTTTCAAATTCATTTAACTAATTAAACTGTCCCTAATTCACTAGACTACTTTAACTATTCATTTATTTTCAGATTTTCAGATTTCAGATAATTTTCGAGCAATAAATTGAGAGCAAATAAGTGAATATTTTTTTGTGCAGAATTTTCATCATCTAATCGTCATGTCGAAAGAAACTTGCTCATTCCTTTTAATATCAATTTACATTTTATAACTGTTTCATCTATTCAACACATGCAGTAATCGAACAATAACGACATTTTTTCATAGCCGCTTCTCGTTACTTATAAAATTATATTTCAGCATTTTATACTTGAAATTTTCTAGAAAAATTAACTTAGAGATTTAGGTCTTTTACATTACTCTTAAATTTAAATTGTTTGAATGGGATTTTGATTTAATTTAAAATTAAACCTTACAATTTATTACACCTTACAAATTTTTTGATTTAAAATTACACCTTACAATTTATTCAAACCTCAGCTGAAATTTTTGCTTTCCAATTTTAGTTTGAATCTGCTATTATGTTTAAGTTTATGCTTGTTACATTAGAATCTAAGCTTACATAATATTATATAATTCATTTGCACTCTGCATCGTCTTAAAATTACTTTTGCATTCTTATTCAATGGGTGTTGTTAATTTGATCGTATAAATTATTCATTATAATTTTGATTTTGCTTGCTTTGTTGTAAATTTAACATTAATTGGCTGGAAAAATATTAAGGAAAATTAATGGAAATTCAATAGAGATATAAAATAAATTTTGATAGCTATTGGTATGAATCAGTAATAGAATTATTAAATCTAATTTAAATCAGTTATTTTCTTTTTCGTTCTTTTTTTTGTTATTGCAATTAAATGGTAATTAGATGTGGTAAAAAAAATTACTAATAAAAGTAAAAGGAATGGAAATAATATGAGAAATGGAACAGTTGTAGAACAGCCATATTTAAAAAATAATAAAAGAACATTTTGAACAACTCTTCGTCTTCATTTTATATTGTCACATACTTTATTTTAATAGATGACAGATGTTATGTAATAGTGAAGCAGATCGTACTACACTGCCAAAATTACCATTCGATATAAATCGATGTATAACAATTCTGAAGAAATTCGATAAAAAAAAGACGGCTGTTTTTTTAATTCATGCTAGTTTATCGATCAACCGGTATGTAGAATCAGGAATCACCAATCATGTTCATTGCATACTTCAGTAATTATTTCAAAATTAGTCGTCTGTTACAAATAATTTGGAAAAAATAACTGTAACGAGCTTTTTTTAATTATCTATTTTTATTTTTATTATGAAATTATTTTTGTTGGTAAAAAGAAAGGTTTAAATCAATTTAAAAAATCATCTCTGACTTTGGAAAGAAAAAAACAAAAGAAAGAGCAGAAAGTTATTCTTTTTGAAATTAGCAAATTGATAATAGCAGTAAATGTTATTACTGAAATAATGAAATAAATAATTGATTATTTTGATTGTTTCAGAATTAATTGTTATTATTGAATAGTTGTTAGATTTTCAATAAAAAGACGTAAATATTTGCATTTGTTTTCCAGGACAAAGAAATAATTTTATCTTCAAATTAACTGACTTTAATTTGTTAATGGAAGTTGAACTAAGATGAAATTTTAATCATAGCAATATAACATTATATTATATTTAAATTTAAATTAAGTCAAACTTTCTAGAATAATTTTTACTCTTAAAATAAGGTAATGTGTGAGATTTGTTTATGTACAAAATTTTATTTAAGCTAATTATTGCTAATTATGGTCATCAAGAATCAGCCAAATATTCGTTTCTTATCATAACTTTTTACAATTTATTTACATGACTGTTATTTCTAGTGATCGTTGAAAAAAGCAGGTTGTAAAATAAAGACCCCCCCAGTGTGAAGGAAAGAAGATGAAGGGGTGATGAATTGTTGCTTTATATAGTATAAAAAACTGTTGACATCTAAGAAAATTTTTGTTTTGAAAATGTCAATCGTTTCTTATGTAGTTTTTAGGATAAAGTTTGTAAATGATCTTTCATGGAAAAAGAATGAAGCACGGAATTTTAACTGTGAATGAACGATAACATAGAATTGTACATTATGCGAAGCAAAAAAGTAAAAAAATTTCCAATTTTTAAAGTTAACATGAGAAATTTTACATTATACTCAGAAGGGTACGAATAATGTTCAACTGATGTGTGAGAAATTAAATTCAACTTTGAGACATTTTTCTTTCTAAATAAAATAGCAAATAATAAAATTACACGTTGAAATGATGAGATCACATGGTAGAAGACTGTCCGATCGCATGATGTATCTCTACGAAAGCTTTTTAATCGAGATTTATCTGTTGATATTTATTTCTTTTAAGTTTCGCCGATGACTTTTGTCGAATTCATTTCCAATGAAAAACAATTGTTATTTTTCGCATCGTTAGCCGTACAATTTTGCCTTTTACTGCTGGTTCGTACTCTGTTTATGGCTTTACATTGAGTTTTTAAGATGGCTTTTTCTTGCAAATGGAAAAAACATCGAAAAACAATAATAAGCATCCATATCTATAATTAAAAATTTTTTATTTTTTACTGAAGATTAGTTAAGTTCATTTGATTTAATAATTATTAAAGGTAACTTCACTGGTTTTTGTTATTTACTGAATGATTTGCTCGGTCATTTTTCAAAAAAAAAATTTTTTGATTTTCAAATTTATTGAATTTTTGAATTGAAAACAAATCTAAAACCTGCACTAAACCGAGCAAAAACACAAATATGCAAATGAATGATAAGATTAAAGCAAATGTTCGAGAAATGTAAATTAGCTCATAGGTTGATTTGCCTGCCATAATTAATGCCAAATCATTAGCAGCACCATCCTCAGCATTAACAATCCTGAAATTTAAATAGTGTTTTGTTTATAATTACAAAAAGAAGTCTTTTCTAAAGTTTCATTTGTTTTTTTTTTTGAAAACTGTAAAATGTGTCATTAATTGGATTGTCAAAATTTGACTGATGTAAATTTTTCAAAGTGGAGATGATTTGAATTTATTTAAAATTAGACTTTTTTCAATTAGCAAAATTTCTTCCATCATTTTCAGAGTTAATTAATTAATGAGTGTAAGTAAACTTTGTATATGTCAAACGGATAAAAGTAATGGACAGAGAATGATTTCAAACGATGGAATTTTTAAAAGTTTTGATAGTGATTGTATAAAAAGAAAAGACTGTGCAGCCAGCATGACTTCAAATGTCATCCTTGAAAGCCTATCTGATACATAGTGTGTTTACTGATCTAATCTGATCAAAAAATATTGATAGAAAGTGGTGAAGTTTAATCAAATGAATTGCAGATAATATTAATCATTTTGAGCTTATTTATGAATAAAAAATATTTCTATGAAAATAGTTTTTTTTTGGAGTAGAAATTTTATTTAAGTGATAAATTCACTATATAAATGAATTAGCGCTTTTTTTTCCGCTTTTCAAATTAATAAATAATAGCACACCTGAAATCCAAGCTTGTTCCAGCTATTAGAGCAAACAAACAAAATAAACAAATAAGTAATAGAACACATATTGCTGCAGCCTGAAAGTTTTCAAAAATTTAGAAAATAAACATGTACAAAAACCCTTTCATTCATCTTTTATAAAAGTAGTCACAATATTGGAAATTATGAATGAATATCAGATCGAATTAATTAAAAAAATGTTTTAGGCCAGTTATTAGGCCATGTTTCCAATTTTTTTTTCACTGCTAACAATAAAAAGGGATCAGGAAAAGAGAGTATATTTAAAAGGAGATAGATAATAAGATAGGTATTGGTCATATTTTAAAGTTTTGTTATGAAATGTGGCCTAATAACTTAGCCATAAATTATTGCTACATATACAGCGTATTTTCTGACTAGCTTGCAGAAAAAAGAAATTGGAGATTTGATTTTAGGATGAAATTTGAATATTACCTGCATTAGTAAATGTGGTACCAGTAAATATGGTGTTGATGTCTTGATGGCAACAAAAAGTAAGACAGAAGCAATGAGCGCAAGAAGTATACCGAATAGCGATATGGATAATGAAAGAAGATACTGTTCACCCGTTTGGATAAAATAGTGTACTGTTGAAAAAATCTAAATTATTGCTCAAAATATGATAAAAAATTTTTTTCCAATCAATCAATAATTACAATTAGAGAGGCGCAATTAATTATTTATTCTGCTATCATTAAAATCTTATACCTCATATGAAAAATAACATAATTCCAAACAACCGATAAGCAATGTAGCCGTAGTTACGTGTAGTAAACTGCAACAGCATCTATTACGTCGTTTTACCGTCTTTACTATTGTTGTAGAATCCGTCATTCCGTTTCCTTGATTTGATTCCGTCATTTCTTTGTTTATTACCTGAAATTTGCATCTTCAAACTTACGAGAAAAATCATCTCTCCTAAAAGTGCATATTTTCTTTTAACCTAAATTTTACATTAGACATTTTGACACATAAGGAAATAAAAAAAAAAAAACATATTGATAAGCATTTCGATTAGATACTGGAGGTACTAAGAATAGTGAAATATTGCTATATTTTAATTTTCATTTTTGGGACATAAAATATCGCTTTTTTCTTCTAAATTAATAAATTTTAGTGAAAAAAAATAGAAAAAAAAAATTTTTTCTTAAATTAAAAAATTTAGTGAAAAAAAAATAAAATGAAAAACTCGTTTTTCTATTTTCTCTTCTTAACATAGATAAACGAACTAACTGTTTTTACTTTCTTTTTCTTTTTGCTCATTTTAAATAAAGAGAAATTTTCGGGTAAAGAAACAATAAAAATTAGATAAAAATGAACGAAAATTTTATAAAAAATGCACGCGCCGGATAGAATACAAAGAAATTCAAAATGTGTCAATCATTCTTGAATTGTAATTAATTCCAAGTATAAAATGAAAACATAAAACGAAAAAAGAAAATGTTTTGAATTATAATTTTGTTAAAATTTGAGTTTCGATGGAAAGTTTTGCCATTTTTGTTAAAAGCATTGAAGAAAGATTTTTATAAAAAACTCTAAAAGATCCTTTTCCTTTTCTGTTGAATGAGATTCCACCTTAATTATACATTCAGCAATTCATTTTCCATTTATTTCTGAACTAATTCTTTGTTAATCTTTTGTTCATTCTCTATTTACGATCTTATCAAGCATTAAGAAAGAAAATAGATAAGTGAATTAAAAATGAATAAATTTTATTTCAGTTCGATTTGATATTCTATCAAATATTATAGGAAGCAAATAAATGAATGAATGAATGAATAAAAAAATAAATAAATAATCTTGTTTTTATTTGATTCATTCTTCTGTTAAGAACCGAAGGAGAAAGTAAACAGATTAAGCAGATAAGCAAATAAATAAATAATTTTATTTCCCTTAATTCAAGTAAGTAAACAAGAAATAAAAAAGCGAGTAAGTAAGTGAGTAAATAAGTAAATGATTAAATAATTTGACTTAATAGTTGGTATGGAAAATATCAGCAATAATGAAAGAGCAAAAGATGAATGTGAAGTGAGGTGGAAAAGAAAAGATTCGAAATGGGCGAATGAAGTGGGTAAATTTGACTGAAGGAATAGAGGAAATGAAGAGGTGAAAAACAGAGAAGTGGCAAATTTCCGACATCCACTAACGAAAAAAAAAAAAATTAAACTCTATTGACCTTTACAGAGAGGCCAATCAGAGAATTTGATTAAAAGAAATGATAGGAGAAGTGTCGAAACCAATGACGACAATTTTCTTCAAACAAAACTTGACAGCAATTATCAATGAGCTGCATGAAAAAGTGATTTTCTAAAATAGCCAATATTAAAACAAGATTGTCAAATATGATTGTTGCATTTATGAATACCGATGCAGTGTATTCGTCGTATTTTTGATTAGAAAGAATGATATTATAGATGTGAATGAAATTTATTATAATGAAGCATCAATCAGTACTTTGTAATTTCAGAAAAGATATTATTCAATTCTAAAATTAAAGATTTCAAAAGTTATTTTCCTTTTTTCTCACTCCATCATTTCGCGTAGTTTTATTAATGAAACTTTAGTTTATTCGAAGTCTTTGTTTTGTTATTTAACGTACTGCTAAGAGTTAGTTTTAATTAATAGGAATATGATGATATATACACAACAGGTTGTTTCGAAATTTCAGGTATTTAAATTTAAACCATCAAAATTATCTTATTTTAACTACTCACTAAATTTACATACTGTGTCATTTACTGGAATTGTCCGCATTGACTCTCTCTGTTATAAACTCAGTTTGAGCTATTGCATTGAATTTACATCGTAGCGGACAGAAGAATCTCTTCCAAAAATTTAATAACAAGAAAAGTTATGTAAAACTTATTTAAATCGAAATTCTTATTATATTTATATTTATTTTTGAACTTTTTTTCCATTTCCAGATGAAAATTTTCATGTGATATTCAAGCAAAGTAGAATATAAATACAAAATAACAGAAAAGCGATATAAATAAGATTTCATGTGATTATAGCAATGACAACTTCTATTATCATTTGTAGTTATAACAATTTGTGGGAAACTTTATCGAATAATAAAATTATTTTTACTAACTAATAACTATATGATCTTTTTTAAATTACATTTATCAAAGTGATAAGAGTAATAGATTTTAGCATATTCTACTTTGAACTACCAAAAGTTTTAATTCGAAAAATTATATTGATATGAAGTAAAATATGACGAATTATATTTCTTTTTAAAGATATAATTAAGAATGAATAGAAATATTACTATAACAGGAATGACCTGAAGAAATGCAAGAGTCTACTAGGTGAAAAATTATTCACATAATTTTGCAATAAAAGTATATAAAATAAGCAAAGCTAACACTAAATAATAGTTTTAAAAAAAAAAAAGTTGCTTTATTTAATGTGCCAACATCCATATTTAATTGTCACATTGTTTGATGCATTCCGATTTGGCTATCCGGTTTGTTCAAATCATAATTCAAGCAGTATTGTTAACTTAAATGTATTCAGTTCTACATGATCACTACAAAAAGCCACAAAA